AAGCTACTCCTTTTCTCTTTATAATTAACAAGGAGTTCATAGGAATGTACTTTGCAACTGTGGAGATATACTGTTCCTCAAAAAAAATTATTCATATATGTATTTATATATGTATGGACTTAAGGTTTTCTGTTTTCTTCAGTGTGTTATATAATCAATTACTGTAATTATTCTGAAGCTCAAATTGTCAGTGGGATTTGATCAGTCAGGAGTCCCTGTAAGCTGGCTTCTCTGTGCTTTTAACATCTCCCCATCATTCTTTAAGCATGTCCTCACTTTTAACACAGTAAGTTTTTCTAGGTTCATCTTGTCCCAGCCCTGGATGAACCATTTCTCCAAGGAGTTCTGGTTCCTTTTAGTGGAGAACAGATTTAGAAGCTAAGTTCTGGGTATTGGATGTGCTCATTGCTATCGAGGTGTTGATGTTCCCAAACCCTCTCAGTGGACAGAACTACAGTATTTATGTATAACCAAAAAACCAAACCCACTGCCGTTGAGTCGATTTTACCCATAGCGACCCTATAGGACAGCGTAGAACTGCCCCATAGAGTTTCCAAGGAGTGCCTGGTGGATTCAAACTGCCGACCTTTTAGTTAACAGCTGTAGCACTTAACCACTACACCACCAGGGTTTCCATATTTATACTGTATTTATTATATCTACACTATATATCTATGTATATATTAAAAATTATAAGCTCACACCATCTCCAATTCTAATTCAACACAGAATTTCTTCCAATTTTTTTCTCTTTTCACATTTGAAACTCTCTAACCTGGGTCCCATTAACCTGAATATATTTATTATTCGATCAGTCACCCCTCCCCCCACACATGCATGCCCCCGACTCTGTTTTTCTTCTGATGTCCTATGCAGCCTCCCCCACTTGTGGATGTCCTTGTGACCCTCACACCATGGGCTCTGACACCCCAATACCGGTTAGCCCCACATATGGATACACTCATCACCCTACATGTGTTCTGACACTCTTGTTTCAGGACTCCCTGTTCCCCCCACATAGTTGCTTTCCTTACCCTGGTGGGGCTTGCCACACCCTACTCCAGGCCACCCTCACACATAGCTACTATCCTCATAGCCTGTTAGATTCTGATGTCCTATGCCGGGCCTCCTGCCTATGTGGATGCACTCCTCACCCTGCCCGCTCTCTGTTCTCTCTTAGCAGACACCCCTCTGCATGGATGCCCTTCTCACCCTCCTGGGCTTTGACAACCCGAACCAGTCATCCCTCCGTGTCTCAGATTCTTATGCTCTGACTCTGCTTGCCAGGCTTCTCCCCTTCCCTCCATCGGGACATCTTCCTCACTTTGTATGGGCTCTGTTGCCCCAGGCCAGGCTGCCGCTCCATGGGGAATCCTGCTTTTCCTCGAGGCCCACACTGGTCCTTCTTATCCTGGTCCGGCTCCAACACACTGTGTTGGGCTGTCCCCAGGATGGGCCTCTCCGCATCATGCTGCAGCTCTGCACCTCACTCCTGGTCACTTGCTGAAATGAAGGCCCTCCTCGCTCCACTTGGGCTCTGACACTGTATCCTGGACTGCACCTCCATGTGGACATGGACACCCTTCTTACCTTACTTAGGCCTGAAAATAACACACGGGTCTTCCTCTCCATGTGGATGACATCCTCATTCCACTTGGGCTCTGGTGTATCAGTCTGGGTCGCTGCAGCTTTCCTTGCTACCACCAGTGCAGATCCTACCTTCTTCTGCCCCACTGAATGGCCTTAGGGCTGAATTTTCGGAAAGGGAAGGGCAAAGGTAAAGCTCGTTTTCTTTTTAATGCCTGTGATATTTGAAATGATGTCCCTTTTTTATTTCTGATATTAATGTTTGTCATACCTTTTTCTTCCTGACCAATCTTTTCCAGCAGTTTATCAATTTTTATTAGTGTTTTCAATGAATTTTATTTTGTTTGCTGGTGCTCTCTATTGTGTGTGTGTGTGTGTGTGTTTTCTATATAATTTCTGTTCTTTATTATTTCCCCTATTTTTTTGAGTTTAATTTTCTGTGTTTGTTTTTTAATTTCTTGAGATGGATGTTTAGGATTTAGATCATTAATTTTCAACCTTTCCCCTAAATACACGCACTTAAAAACCAAACCCACTGCCGTCGAGTTGATTCCAACTCATAGCGACCCTGTAAACAGACGAGAACTGCCCCATAGGGTTTCCAAGGCTGTAAATGTTTATGGAAGCAGATTGTCACATCTTTCTCCCGTGGAGCATCTAGTGGGTTCGAACCACCGACCTTCTGGTTAGCAACCAAGTGCTTAATTACTGCACCACCAGTAATCCAAATATATGTACTTCAACCCATAAATATCCTTCCAAACATGGGTTTAGCTGCATTCCACAAGTATTTATATGGATTCTTTTTATTTTTATTCTCAGTACATTTTCTAATTCTATTGTAATTTCTCTTTTAATCCATGGTTTTTTAGAAGTATGTTTTAATCTCTAGTTATTTTGTCTAGATTTCTGTGTAAATACCGTAGTTGGCTGGCAACTAGGCGGGGACCTAATGTGAAAAAGTAAGCGAAAGAAAATAGGGCATAACATTGTTACCAGGCAGAAATTATATTGTACTGGTCACATTAGAAGAAGTTCAGAGAAGGATATTGTAGCCATAGAGAGGGAAGATGGTCTAATAAAGATAAAAACAGAGGTAGCGGTGGCACCTTGAAGGATAAGGGAGGCAAGGGCTGGATTGTATTGGTTTTCTAGTCAACATCCTTTTCCTGCCTTCATCCTTCCTAGACCCTACATTGTCCCAGCATCTACTCTTCTCCATATAATATGAACAGTGAAGCTGACCCCATTCCCAGCTTCAAATTTTGGTACTTCTGATTAATCTAAGCCAATTACGGTAACCCCATTTCCCTTATCAGAAATGGGTTTAAGAATAGACATGTGACCCAGTTCTGTCCTGTGACATCTGTGGGGCAGTATGCTGAGAGACTTCTGGAAAATACTACTTCTCTTTTAAGAAAAAAGATAAAGGAAAGGATGGTATGCTGACTCCTGGAAACACTACATTGGGAAATATTTAATTGATTTCAGGTTACAGTAAGTATTTAGCTATTACCATTTAATTTAATTCAATGGCTGGTGAAATAAACACTTTTAGATGGGGGGTATTGGTTTCATGATGTATGAACTGTATTAGTCACCAGTGTATTTGGAAACAAAAGAAATCCAACTTGCAGTTATTTTAACAAATAGAGATTTATGTGTCTCAGACATCAAGAAGTTTGAGAGTAGCTACTCGTGATGTTTCAGAGATCCAGGCTTTTCTATTTTTCTGCTTCTCCATCCCTAGCTTTCCTTCTCGTGCTTTTTGCTTTGTGGTTATAAGATGGCTGCTACACCTCCAGGCAGGAGGAAGGGGGAGGATGAAGGGGACAAAACGAGATGCCAGTTGCGTCTGCCTGCTTTTGTCAGGAAAATAAAAGTTTTCCTGGAAGCCCCACCCTGAAATCTTCTGCTTAGGTCTCATTGGCCAGCCTAGTTGGAGTGCATCTAGGGAAAGAAGGAGATTATGGATGTGATTAGGTCAGCCTATCAGCTGTGCCAGCGACAGGTACTTTCCTACCCAACATAACTATATTACGCCAGATAATTGCCTAAGACTACTTGTCTCTATGTTAGTCTGTAATTTTGTGTTTTATTTGCTACTACTTGCAATGTGTCTTTAATCTATCTTCTCTTCTCTAATTTAGCTTCACTTATATTAATTCAGCATCTTTTCTACTTTTTATTTATGTTTTGTAAACCAGAGTTAGTCTATTAGACCTACTAGGTATGACATTTAATTTTCTTTTTCCAAAATTAGGACTCCTGAGCAAATGTGTAAATTTGTGCTAAGTTTATGCAAATTAATATTTTTCTTTTGAACCAGCCATTGTGGTAATTTTTAAATGAGCCTGTATGTAGTTCTTGTGTAAAGTTTTTCTTTCTTAAGAACAGAGGAACTACTGAATATTTGAATTGAACTCTAGTGTAAAAATTATAATATAAACTACCTTTTTATGTGTTTTTTTTTTTTTTGAGAAAGGAAATACACAGTCCATTAAAAAAAAATTAGCAGTGTTTAAATTTAATATCTGATATTGTATTCAGGATTTACCTAAACAAACTTAGTTATTCTTAAATTGTATACTGAACTTTATTTCCTTACATTTCCCTCCTACCCACGCTTACATCCTCTTTCACAGATATGTTTATTCTCAGTGAGGTAAAAATTTTAAAAATTATTTGAGACTGAAAGAAAATGTAATTTCAGTTAGCTGTTAGAGGTAGGGATGCCTGTTGTAGACAAGATGGAGCCATACTTCACACAGAATGTAGACATAGATGTGGAATGTAATGGGGGTTAACCTTATAATGGAGAAGAGACATAATATATTTTTCAGTCTTTGCTGACCGAGGAGGTTAGCAAGCAGGGATTAGGGCTTGATTTACAGTGCATCTCATTTTAGGATTCTGGACCCAGGATAGATGTAGATGTAGAAAAATAGATTCTGACCCTGCTAAGCTGAATGCTAATTTAAGTTCATCTCAGTAACTGAGAAAAAAACAAAGGAGATTTTTATGTCTGTTTTACAAACCGTATTTTTATTGCTTTGTTTAGATAGGCCGCAGATCACAGGGGAATAAATGATGAAGTATGTATGCTGAGAGGGAGAACCAAATAAATGTTTTACTAATACTTACCGTTCTCCCATTTTTGTGGTACATAACTACAGGATCTCTTTTAGTATATGACTTTTATTATTCCTAATCTTATTATGCAGGAGTGGGGCAGGGAACCAGATTATTTTATTTTTGTTTGTAAACTAGAGGAGAAGAAAACTCACTAGTAAGTCTAATAGCTACTTTTCCACAAACTTTCATCCAGTTTTTTAACTTATTTATAGTTACTGTGGGCTTTACTTCTTGTGAGGCTAATTGGAAACAGTGACCAGATTCTTAATCATTATCAGGAAACTGCATTCAGAGAATGAGAAGAACACCCCCACTGGATGAATTGCAGCCACCACCATATCAGGATGACAGTGGTTCTCCCCATCTCTCATGTACACCCTCAGAAATTGGGGACAGTAAATATGAATATTTCCACTGCAGCAACAGTCCAAGATGCTCATATAACAAGTGCCCAAGTGAAGGAAGCACAGGTCGTGAAATAGAAAGTTTTCATAATAAAGGATATGAAGAAGATGTTCCAAGTGACAGCACCGCAGTCCTGAGCCCTGAAGTAAGTAAAAGCACATAGAATTGTCTAAGTGAATGTGATTTGGAGGATAATAATCCTGTGCTTCTCCTCTAGGTAAAAAACAATTGGTTTCATCACTGTCTGTTCCTTTGTGGCTATGATTCCAGTTTTTATTCTTGATCCGTTCTTTATCCAGCAAATTTGTAGGGCTATTCCAGTCCTCAACTCCTCCCAAAAGGAAAATGGGTAGAAAAATGACAGCAACAGACAAGGCTGAAGAATAATCTACCCTCACGTTTCAACCTCAAAATAGGTTGTTTTGTTTGTTTGTTTGTTTATCACTTTATGAATAACATTCTGACATTATTTACCTATTTGTTTCATCTTAGGGTTATTTCTTACATTTGTGGGGTTTTAAAATTATTGTTATTTTTACTGTTTGGAGGATGCTGATTAATATTGTTTCACAGATCCTTCAAAATAATGTTGCATTTTCATGTATAGAATTGGAGGGGATAAGAGGTGATCAGCTTAACTAATAAAATTTCAGTTCATGACATCATGCATTGAGAGTGCTTATAGCTGAGTTTTGAGTTATTTATTTTTTGGAGCAAAAAGTGAAAACAACAACAAAAATAATTGTGCTTCACCTTTGCAGTCTTGCCGTGTGCTAGAAAGGATTTGTTTTAGTCTTTCTATAATGATGAAGATTACAGAGGTAACCTAGAGGTTTTCATGAGGTAGTCTTGTAGAATTCACTTTCTTTTCAAGTTTCAGATTTCAAGTTTCATAACTTTTGTCTTAGGCAACATTTCATAATACTGTAGTATATCTGTGCTCTTACTAGGTGAATTGTCTGATCTGCTGTCAAAATTAAATAATGGACATGGTTCCTCAATATATAGAACAATTCAGCTAGGGACAGAATTTCCTTAATTTTAAGTTTTTCTTCTATAATTAAAAAAACCACTTTGTATCTGTTACTAGTATTTCTAGTAATATAATATAGTACCTGACCTAGAAGAACATCCTACATTTTATTTTAATATGTTGGTATTTTCATGATGTTCCACAAAGAGTATTTCTCTGTGTTTTATCATCTGAACAAGTTTGACCAGCTCTTTTGTAGAGTTTCAAAGTATATAGATAGCCAACAAACAGTGAAGCCTAGAATGTGTAATTAACATCAACAACAATAATAGCTATCACCAGTTGTGCCAGGAATTGTGCTATGCAGCTTATTTAATTCTAACAATCATGTCTTCAGGAAGTTATTATTTACATTTTACAGATGAAAACATTGAGACCCAGAGAGTTAAGCACTACCAAGTGCTGGCAGCTCTTAAATGGTGAAACTATTATTCAAGCCTAGGTCTCACTGCAAAAACAATGTTCTTAACTATGCTGTGTTGCCCTTCTTGATCTAAATCGTTGTGTGGGATGTTAGTGGTACCCTCCAAGTACACGACCAGGCAAGCTGTCTTAGAGGACTCACAGATGATATTAAAGTACTCGAATTACTTGTGTGTGTGTGTGTGTGTTTGTGTGTGCGTGCATGAGTGTGTGAATCTATTTCAAATATAAATCAAGAAGTAAGGAGAGCAAGATGAGGTAGGTTAATACACTTAGGATAGGATACAAGTGGGTGGAAGGACCACACTATGTGAATCCTGGTTTATACAATGCTCATATGTCCTGTCTTACTCTCTCTGCTTCATCAGCCTTCTCTATTTATGGTGTGGTAACAAGGACCAGAGTTGAGACTTGAACAAGAGTTCCTTGGGCCAATAATTCACCCTTGGTCTGTGGGAGAGATGCAGGGCAAGTGCACCTGGCCACCACTAAAACTTGCCAGTTAGCTTACTGAACAGACATAGGTTTTATCTGCATTTCTTAGGTAGAACACACGAATGACATCACTGTCAGCCCAGAGGGACATGATCGTGACTTGGGCTTTCCGTCATATTTTCTATTTATTCTATCTATCTTCGGCACATCCCACAAATTATTAACTTAGTTACTATCCATCTTTAACATGTCTTCTTAACTCTGCCTATGTCTCAGAAGCTACCACCTTACTCATTATCTATAGTTATGAGTTTTGTCCATATTTAATAAGTATCGTGGATTGAATTGTGTCCCCCAAAAATATCTGTCAACTTGAGTAGGTCATGATTCCTAGTATTGTATGATTGTCTACCGTTTTATCATCTGATGTGGTTTCTCTGTTGTAAATGCTATCACTATGATGTAATAAGATGGATTCAGGGCAGTTATATTGATGAGGTCTACAAGGTAGTGTCTTAAGCCAATCTCTTTTGAGATACAAAAGAGAGAAGCGAGCAGAGAGACATGGGGACCTCATACCACCAAGAATGCAGTGCTGAGAGCAGAGTAGGTCCTTTGGACCTGAGGTTCCTGTGCAGAGAAGCTCCTAGTCCAAGGGAAGAGTGATGATGACAAGGACCTTCCTCCAGAGCCAACAGAAAGAGAAAGCCTTCTCCTGGAGCTAATAGTCTGAATTTGGACTTGTAGCCTACTAGACTGTGAGAAAATAAATTTCTTTTTGTTAAAGCCATCCACTTACAGTGTTTCTGTTACAGCAGCACTAGATGGCTAAGACAGTAAGTTACTAATTTGCTGTCTGTGGTAGCCCTTTTTATGAGTGTCTTCTAGCCTCCTTGTTTTTGTGTCCACTGTAGAAACATTGAATATATTCAAACAATACAGCAAATGCACATTACGTAAATACTTAGGTGGGAAATGCAGATAGCCTGTTGATATAAGATTCACTCCTGTGTTTTTCTAAATTCTTTTACTGCTTCCCATCCTTGTGATGGATATCATTTATCAGATAGAAAATTCTTACCTTCATCTTGGTTTAGTCTAAGATATAGCTGTAAGAGCCTATCCACATATGTGATGGAACTGGAAGGGCAGAGAGGGTTCAGAGAATTCCATGGCAAGTTCATAAACTCTACTGATGGCCTGCTGCTAACTGAAGATTATTTAAAACTTTGATTTGGGCACCTTGAAAGGAAGGATTTTTTTCTTATTTGCAGAATGCAAATATTAGCTTTTATCTGGTTTCACATTAAAAAAAGAAAACAGCTAAAAGCTACTATTTACATTTTATCAGCAGCTCTTATGTGGCTTCACCAGAATCCCTAGTGGTGCAGTGGTTAAGCGTTCAGCTGATAACCAAAATGTCAACGGTTTGCACCCACCAGCCACACCATGGGAAGAAGATGTGGCAGTTTACTTACCCTATGGGACAGTTCTGCTGTGTCCTGTAAGGTCACTATGAGTCGGAATTGACTCAACAGCAACAGGTTTGGTTTGTTTGTTTTTTTAATCTGCTTTCATAAGAATTGTCAGATTGCCCAGGGAAAAAAATTAGGGTAACATCAAGAGAAACAAAATTCAGAAATAGCTATCTAGGACCTTACAAAAAGGTTTACTGCCTTAAAAATCTTAACCTTATTGCAGTATTTTAGAAAATGTTTAATTGAAATATCCAGGCCATGCTATTAAAAATCTTTAATTACCAATTATGAAGTGAAAGACATTAAAACATTTTATTTTAAACTATAAGGTTTGGGTTTTGTTTTTTGCTTTTTTACAAAACAAGAGCATGTTTATCTGATTTAGTCATACTGCATTAAAAACTCTGCATTCTGCCCTAAGTGTTTTTTCCCTCTCCCCAAGTAGTGCTTTTCATTTGTGATTTTTTTTTCCCATACATGATACTAAATGGGCCACAATAGACATTAGTGGATAAGCTTTATGAGGTTCAAAGACTTTGTGTTTTCGATTCTCTACTGCATCCCTCACCTGAAATAGGGCCTGACATATGGTAGGTACAATAGCTAGGGTACATTTTAAGCTGCTATAACAAAGAGACCACCAGATGCAATGGCTAAAAAACACAGAAGCTTATTTCTCTTTCATTTAACAATAGCCCACAGATGATCAGGTAGTCCAGGGTGAGTAAATACCTTTGCTCTGTAGCATTATTTGGGGACCCAGTTCCTTCTCTTTTGTCACTCTGCCATGCCCTAGGATGTTGTCATAGTTCACACGGTCTCAAGCTGACCCATACCATCTGTCTTAGTTATCTAGTGCTGTTATAACAGAAATACCACAAATGGATGGGTTTAACAAACAAAAATTAATTCTCTCACAGTCTGGAGGCTGGAAGTCCAAACTTAGGGTCCCAGCTCCAGGGTATGGCTTTCTGTCTCTGTCAGCTCTGGGGGGAGGATCTTGGCATCAGTCTTCCCTGGGTCTAGGAATTTCTCAGCACAAGTACCCCGGGTCCAAAGGACACGCTCTGCTCCAGGCTCGCTTCTTGCTTGGTGGTAATGAGGTCACAGAAATGGGATGTAGTGCTGCTGCTGTCCACTTTCAAGTGGTGCCTGCATGTTGCACAGAACCATCTATAAATCAGGCACGAGTTTTCTCCTCCTCAGTCAACTGATCATAATGAACTCCCCATGAGGCCATAGGTGCAGACTGGGAGATGGAAGGTAATGTGACAGGAGTGGAGACCATGGGCATTTGGGACACTTCTTCATGCAACTTACTTGTGCCTTCAGGTCCTGCTCGGGCCTGATCTTGTATATACCATTTCCATTTAATGATGGAGTACTCCTGTACATATCCAACTTTATGGCTCTGTGGGTCAGACACCACCCAGTTCATGATGGGCAGCCCAGGCCACACGGTAACCTGGTGGCCCCTGGTTAAGCGGTCAGTCTCTACTAAGGCACGGTAACAAGCCAAATGCTGTTTCTCAAAAGCACAGGATGGCAGGGCTTTACTCCAAAATCGTAAGGGTCCCCAGTAGGGGCCTGCCAAGACTCCAGACAGCATCTCTATCTTCCACTGACACTTCTAGCACCATTGGATCAGCTGGATCATATGGTCCAAGTGGAGAGCGGCTTGCACAGCAGCCTGAACCTGTTGCAGAGCATTCTTGTGTTCTGGGCCCCATTCAAAACTAGCAGCTTTTCGAGTCACTTGATAAATAGGCTGGAGAAGCGTACCCAAATGAGTGATACGTTGCCTCCAAAATCCAAAGTGGTCCACTGGGCATTTTGCCTCCATTTTAGTTGTGGAAGGGCCAGATGCAGTAACTTATCCTTCACTTTAGAAGGAATATCTCAAAATGCCCACGCCACTGGACCCTGTGGTAGTAGGGGCCAAATGGCGGCACTTAATTGACAGACAAGGTGGGCATGGTTACTATAATGGACAGCGGATTCAAAGCAGTAATCAGAATAGTCTCACTCGTGTGGACTTATGGGCTTGGCTACTTAGTCATGGTGTCCCTAGGAGTGAAACAGATAGGAAATCTACTAAATATTTACTTGATATGTACAAGTGGAAGAATTCTAGGTCAAGTGAACAGCAGTCTAATTCGAATCACCAGAATAGAGAGTCACGGTCCCTCAATCAATTCCCAGAACTTGAGTAAGTTTACAGACCCACAACCCCTTGAATGAAGGGGAGGCTGGGCACACTCACTATTACCCCTAGTGACCCACTTGCAAAATTTTTGCTTCCTATCCCCACGACCCTATCCTCTGCAAGTCTTAGAAGTCTTAGTTCCAAAGGGAGGAATGCTCCCACCTGGAGACACATCACTGATTACACTGAACCGGAAGGTAAGAATGCCACCTGGCCGCTTGGGGCTCCTTATGCCTCTGAATCAATAGGCAAAGAAGGGAGTTACCATATTGGCTGGTGTGATTGATTCTGATTACCAAGAGGAGATCGGATTGATATTACATAATGGAGGCAAAGAAGAATATGTCTGAAAAGCAGGAGATCCCTTAGGGCGTCTCTTAGTACTACCATGCCTCGTGATTAGCGTCAATGGAAAACTACAGCAACCCAATTCCGACATGACTGCTAATGACCCAGACCTTTCAGGAATGAAGATTTGGGTCACCCCACCAGACAAAGACCCAGACTAGCTAAGGTGCTTGCTGAGAGCAAAAGGAATATGGAATGGGTGGTAGAAGAAAGTAGTTCTGATTACCAGTTACAACCATGTGACCAATTGCAGAAATGAGGACAGTAATTGTTGTATTTCTTCTTTGTATGTGTGCATCAAGTATTTTTGTTTTCTTATGTAAATGGGGCTAGTGCGTTTCCAGTTGTACCTGTGTTAGTTGTATCATGTTAGAAGCAAGTATGTCTTTATAATTGTCTTTATTCAGAGATTATGTATGGTTTAAGGAGATGTGTAGAGGTGCCAGGCTGACAAGGGGTGAACTGTGATGGTTAAGGTTGTGTGTCAACTTGGCTGGGCCATGATTCTCAGTGGTTTGGCAGTTATGATGTAATCTGGCAGTTGTATAATGATGTAATTACTTCCATGATGAGATCTGATATAACATGATCACCTCCATGATAGGATCTACTGTGGGTAGCCAATCAGTTGAAAGGGGAGTTTCCTTGGGTATGTGGTCTGCATCCAATATAGGTGGGCTTTCTGGCAAGGCTCGTGAGGTTTTGCTTGCTCTGGATCCTGCAGCTGGCTCCTGTTCATCTGACCTGTGATTCTTGGGACTTGAGCTGCAGCCTGCCTGCTGTCTGACCTGCTGATCTTAGGTTCACCAGCCATTGCAGCTATGTGAGTCAGGAGAAGCCTCCAGGCTGGCCCACAGACTTGGGACTTTCCAGTCTCTACAACCACGTGGGCCATTTCCTTGATACAAATCTCTCTGTATATGTTTATATGCTTTACTGGTTTAGCTTCTCTAGAGAATCCAGCCTAAGACACCATCCTAACTGTATCTGCTTGTGGGAAAAGCAAAATAGAGAGTGGAGGGCAAGCAATTTCTTTGTAAAAGCTGATCTGGATGTTTCACATGTAACTTCTGTTTCTATCCCATTTGCCGGAGCAAGGTCATGTGGGCATGTAAGCTATAAGGGAGACGGGGAAGTATAGTCTCTTACTAGACATTGCTTTTCCAACCAACACTCAGGGAGTTCTGTTGACTCAATGGGTGAAGGGAAGATGGTGGGGTAAGTAATTGTAATTGCCATAATAGACACTAAATAAAAATTCAGAAAATTAATGAATGATGGTCAGATTAAAAAATTGATGTACATTTTAAAATGATAGACATTTAAGATTTATTAAAATACTTGAAGGGGCAAAGTGGTGTAGTTGAAAGGTCAGAGACCTGGGTTTGACACTGTCAGTAAGTAGCTAAAACCCCCATTATATTCTAGATAGTTGGATTGAGACAATTGCAGGTAAAATGGGTGCAATTATTTTAATCCTATAATTAAAACATATAGTTTGTCTTTCTAATCTTTTCTAAAAATATCTATTCCTCCATTTTCAGTAGTAATATTAAAAAATAATATGTAGTTTTAAATTCAGTTAAAAATTGACGTAAATATGGTCTGTGTTGTGGACAGTAAATATTTGGCTGCAAATATCTTGAGGCCTTTATACTTCCATATTTTATATTTCGATTGATTTTTAATCCAAGTGTGGTTGCATTCTATTACTGATGGCATTTTAGAACAAACCCTGAAAATAGGAACAAAATTTTAATAGCATTATAATTTTATTTATGTTTTCTTTCTCTCTAGCCTAATATTGAGTTGTCAAATGCATTGTTTATAATGTTGAAACTAAAATTTAGTGGTTTCCTTTATTATAAAAGAAACAGATACACATTAGAGTATATATTTTCAATTTTTATTTATAAGAATATATATCCAACTTTCTCAAAATGGTGATGGTGAATATTAAATTATAAATTTGTCTTTATTATAGTAAGTTTTTTAGTTTTTCTTACCTGCTTAAACGGTTTTGCCCCTATAGTTTCAGCTTTTGATTATAGTTAGCTATTAATTTCTTTGTGGAAGTGAATCAAACTTGTTTTCACATGACCTCCTAATGAAATATCAGGTATTTATTTACATACTAGATTAAATAATAGCGTTAAAAACTTAAAATATTTAAATTTGCTTTTCTTAGGATATGTCAGCTCAAGGATCATCTTCACAGCTTCCTAAACCTTTTGATCCTGAGCCAGAAGCTAAATATGGCACACTGGATGTGACTTTTGACTATGACTCACAAGAACAGAAGCTTCTGGTAACAGTGACAGCTGTCACAGACATCCCAACATATAACAGGACAGGTGGCAACTCATGGCAAGTACACCTTGTTCTTCTACCTATAAAGAAACAGCGAGCAAAAACCAGCATCCAGAGAGGACCATGCCCCGTATTCACAGAAACATTCAAATTTCATCATGTTGAATCTGAGATGATTGGAAATTATGCAGTTCGGTTTAGACTGTACGGTGTACATCGCATGAAAAAAGAAAAAATTGTAGGGGAAAAGATTTTTTATTTAACAAAATTGAATCTTCAAGGAAAAATGTCATTACCTGTGATACTGGAACCTTCTTACAGTCGTTCTGTGAGTATCTCATCAAATAGCCTGAGTACACTTTATGTTGATAGCATTTCGTACACACAATTTTTTAACCTATCATCAGCCTAACGACTTTCTCAGTCCATTTTTTACCAAGTAATAATGCCTTTACAAAATGTCTAAGCCCAGATAGGTAGATATTATTTTTCTCATTTATTAAAGTTGCCCTTGAAGATGATATATGATTTATTTTATACATTCTATTTTAACCTTCACAGGGTCTGACCTGGGGTCCTACGCATTTGTTCCTGTGAACATTTATTAGATGGTTGATCATGATGTCATCTGAACTCCTTATAGAATTCAATTTTTTTTCCCTAGGTTAAAAGTAGGTGATACTTTAAGAAGTGTCTAGTCCCGTATCCTTTTGCCATATCTAAAAATTATTTGCTGTTAGAGAATATGTGCTGCTGCCTAAGTCATGACTGATTATCTTTCCAGACCTGCTATGAAATTGTTTTAAAGTTTCAAAAATAACCCGGCTTCATTGTACTTTCCATCCTTTTTAAATTGAGATTTTGAAGTATTTCTGGGAGAATTCATAACCTTAGTATTTTGAGATGTTCTCCCTTCCTCTTTTTTTCTCCAGATTCTAATCATATACAAGTTTCTCCCCCTCTCCATATTTGTGGCTAAATTCCCACAGGGCATTGCAGATCACAGGAGATAAATGTCTGCACTGTTTATTTAAACAAGGGAGATGCATTATGCGACATAGTTTAGATTCTGAGAAAATCTGTGATTATGCTACAAGTGAAGTTATGGGCTGTAGTTATCTCTCTGTTACATTGAATAAAAAGCATTTTAATAATATAAATATATAGTTTTTGGAGTAGATTTATATTTTAAAATGAAGATACAGTGTTTTATTTTATGGTTGTCCAAGGTTAAAATCTCATAGAATTTATACCAGGCAGCATTAGATCTTGTGGAACCTTCATTTATCATGGAACCATACCATTTTAGCCAGGTGGTTTCAGCATGTTTAAAAACAAAAGGTGATAGTAAATATAACATATCCATATGAGTTTGTAGGATGAGATTGAGCCTTTATTGGGAGAATTAATAACTTGTTTTAACCACTTTGAATAAATACCTTTTTTAAATGACATCTGTAGTTTTTCAGAGGAGTGAAAAATAGAAAGTACAGGTAACATGTCAGAGGGAAAAAGGAACAATTTTTTTGTCATAAATTGAATATTCTGCAATTCCTAATATGATTTTAAAGTGTTCTCAGTATTTGGTCTGAGTGATCACTAGTTAATCTGTGGAAAATACATCCTCGTATAGAAATAACATTGATATAAATTAAAAGAAAATGACAGTATCATCAAGAGGTATGTATTTTGCATTGCTTTGTTTACTTTAAATTATGTGTTCCCGATTCTGTATTTACTGCATTCATTTCACAAAGAAAATGAAGCCATAGAAAGTAACATGGTTTTATCTCTGGTCGAACTAAATAATCCCATCTTTATATGCACCTTCATTGCATGTGCTGGTTTATAGTAATTGATTCTGTCATCTGTTTTTGCCAACTGGTATAATAAATTTCTGAGGAGTGCTCACAAAAAGTAAAAAAGTGCTAGATAAATAGTTTCTGAAGCATAAAGTTTAGATCTGAGTAAAACTATCCATCTTCTACTCTTACAGAATTTTTTTCTCTGTGTTAACACACTTAAATTTTATAGCTGTGTTTAATTGTCCTTTCTCTTATCTTCCTTCTTTCTCCACCTCCTCAGAATATCATTGCCTCCTTACTTTTAGGTTTCTGTGCCAAAAACAACTCGGCACACCATGATTATGAGGTTAGCACTCCTAATTCTGTCTACATTTGTCTTCATAAAAACGTAATACTGATAGAATCTGTGTATTCTGTATGTTGTTGTTAGCTGCTGTCAAGATGGTTCCCAACTCATGGCAACCCCGTACAACAGAGTGAAACACTTCTCTCATGATCTTTTGTGCTATCCCCGTGATCTGTTGTGCTGTTCCCATGTTCTGTTGCAGATCAGATCATCGTGACCCATAGGGTTTTCTTTTACTCATTTTTTGGGAAGTAGATCACCAGGCCTTTCTTCCTAGTCCGTCTTAGTCTAGAAGCACCGCTGAAACCTGTTCAACATCCTAGCAACACACAAGACTCCACTGACAGTGGATGGTAGCTGCCCATGAGGTACATTGGCTGGGAATCAAACCTCTCTCGCATGGAAGATGAGAATTCTACCACTGAACCACCACTGCCCCCATTGTATATATTTTGTGGTGTTAATGTTGTCTTTTCTGGGGTTTTGATATTAACTATATGGAAAAATATTGTGAATATAGTTTACTTGGGTGAGTTTAGCTCTAATTTTTAAGAGATCTATAAACACACATATAAATGAAAGTTATGTTCATTGTCAAACATTTATTCTGGTAGGCTTTGAATAATTACTTATTATTATTGTTCTTGAAAACTGGAGGAAAGGAGATCCTTGTTAAGTAGTGTCAGAAAGTTTAGCAGAATTATCTCCTGCAGTTAGGTGGAAAGCAGAACTTGTAAATGATAAACTTGTATATTTGTTGTTGTTGTTGTAAGTGCCTTTGAGTCAGTTCCAACTCACAGTGACCCTATGTACAACAAATGAATCACTTCCTGGTCCTGTGCCATCCTTATAATCATGGCTATGTTTGAGCCCATTTTTGCAGCCACTGTGTCAGTCCATCTTGTTGGGGGTTTTCCTCTTTTTCACTGACCCTCTACTTTACAAAGGATCATGTCCTTCTTGGGGGACTGGTCCCTCCTGATGACAGGTCCAAAGTACGTGAGATGAAGTCTTGCCATCCTCGCTTCTAAGGAGCATTTTGGCTGTACTTCTTCCAACACAGATTTATTCGTTCTTCTGGAAGTCCATGGTCTATTCAGTTTTCGTTTTCTTTATGTTAAGGTGTAATCCATACTAAAGGCTTATATATTTAGCTGAAGAGATTTTCCAAACAAAGTGTTGAAGGTGCAGCCTTATTTGTTCTTGCTGTGTATAGTAAAATGCAAGAGGAAAAAGATAAATTGAGAGAAAAACTGTTAAAACAAAAAAGAACCAAGACTTGATGAATTGGGAAATTCTTAGCATACCCAGGTGGCAAAAGATGCTAAATATAAAAAATAGCTACTGAAGACTGGTGTAGAGAAAAGGCTGAAGGTGTGGCTGTACAACTTTTCTTGAAACCTAGAAAAGATTAAAAGGTGAGAGTATTCAGCCATACAAAAGACCCTCCTGGGAGATTAAGGGTGTTCCTCAAAGATCATCTCAATCAAACCAGAGAGCCTCTAGGAAGCTTAAGAGAATTGTCCCTCAGGCATCTCAGCGGAAGCCAAAGATAGAGAAGGGATTATCTTGAAAAGATTTGTGGGCATAGCTTTAGTCTAGTGGAGTGAACCTCTCTAGAATTCACACAAGACCTACAAGATTCTTGAAAAACTTATATCAGCACAAATACTACCTGCTTGGACTGAAAGAAACAGAGAAACTACAAAATGAAGGAAGGCGGCTGGACCTCCACAATTCCACTGTCAGGAAGCAGTCTGAGAAAACTGTTGTTGCTTACGGTTGCCATTGAATTGATCCAACTCATGGCTGTGAGAAAATCACTATGTAATTAAACTTTTAAATTTATGTTCAAATTTTGTCTTAAAATATGTAGAAAGAAAAAGACACTGACTTTTTTTTTATTATTGTGCTTTAAGTGAAAGTTTACAATTCAAGTTAGTCTCTCATACAGAAATTTATACAAACATTGTTTTGTGATCCTAGTTGCTCTCCCTGTACTGTGACAGCACACTCTTCCTTTCCACCTCGGATTTCCCATGTCCATTCAACCAGCTCCTGACCCTCTCTGCCTTCTCATCTCGCCTCTGGACAGGAGCAGCCCCTTTAGTCTCATGTATCTGCTTGAGCTAAGAAGCACACTCTTCACGAGTATCATTTTATGTCCGGTAGTCCAGTCTAATCTTTGTCTGAAGAGTTGGCCTTGGGAATGGTTTTAGTTTTGGGCTAACAGAGAGTCTGGGGGCTGTGTCTTCCGGGGTCCCTCCAATCTCAATCAAACTGTGAAGTCTGGTCTTTTTAGTAGAATTTGAGTTCTGCACCCTACTTTTCTCCTGCTCCATCAGGGACTCTCTGTTATGTTCCCTGTCAGGGCAGTCATTGGTGGTAGTCAGGCACCATCTAGTTCTCCTGGGCTCAGGCAGATGTGGTCTCTGGTTTATGTGGCCCTTTCTGTCTCTTGGGCTAATACTTTCCTTGAGTCTAAGGTGTTCGTCCTTCTCCTTTACTCCAGGTGGCTTGGGACCAATTGATGCATCTTAGATAGCCACTCACTAGCTTTGAAGACCCCAGATGCCACTCATCGAAGTGAGATGCAGAACATTTTCTTAAAAAACTTTGTTATGCCAGTTGACCTAGGTGTCCCCTGAAAGCATGGTCCCTAGATCCCCGCCCCTGCTGTTTGGTCCCGTGAAGTGTTTGGTTGTATTCAGGAAACGTCTGAGCTTTTGTTTAGTCCAGTTGTGCTGACTTCCCCTATAGTGTCTGCTGTCCTTCCCTTCACCTAAGATAAGTCTTGTCTATTTTCTAGTTAGTGAATACCCCTTTCCCTCCCTCCCTACTCTCGTAACCATCAAAGAATGTTTTCTTCTGTGTTTAAACCTTTTCTTGAGTTCTTACAATAGTGTTCTTATACAATATTTGTCTTTTTACGACTGACTAAATTCATTCAGCATACCTTCCAGATTCCTCCACGTTATGTTTCACAGATTCATTGTTCTTTATCATTGCATGGTATTCCATTGTGTGACTATACCATAATTTGTTTATCCATTCGTCCGTTGATGGGCACCTAGGTTGTTTCCATCTTTTTGTTGTTGTGAACAGTGCTGCAATGAACAGGGGTGTACATATATCTATTCTTTTGATGGCTCTTATTTCTCTAGGATATATTCCAAG